TCCGCGCGGGTCGCCGCGCGACTGGGCCCTCTGGCCCCGACGCGCCCGCGAGCGGGGCCCTGCCAGCCTCGCCGCCGTCCGTCGCCAGCTTCACGGACGGCAGAGGCCGCGCGGCGTGGTGCCCCTCGGGTGTGCGCAGCGGCACTTTCTCCCACCCACGCGCGCGGCTCGCGAGGAGGGCCCGGCGCCCGAGGGCCGCCGTCTGCCGCCTGGAGATGGCACTGCGCCCCTTCGGAGCAGAGCAAACCCAGGCCCGCCGACCGTGGGTGCCTGGGCCTGGAGTCTAAGGGAAGCCTTTGCCCTCTCCTTCCGCCTCCTGACCAAGGGTCTTTACTCTGTTTGGGATCTGTAGAGTTGTTCTGAGCGCCAGAGTCCAAATCCTGGAAATAGAGCTCCAGGGGTGAGGTGAACTCGAGTGTCTTTGGCTTAGCTCAAATTCTCCTCGTGGGCTTTGAGAAAGGAACAGGCTGTGGGAGGCTAGAAGAGTGAAAGGGGAAGGAAAACTGGCTTCTTGCTGTGTCTGGCTACTTACACATAGCCATTAAAAAATCTGGATGAGGCCGGGTGTGGTGGCTCAGTCTGTAATCCCAGCATTTTGGGAGGTGGAGGCAAGAGGATTGCCTGCGCCCGGGGCTTTGAGACCAGCCTGGGCAACTTGGTGAGACCTCGTCTCTACCATAAGTCACAAAAAACAAAACAAAACAAAAAGCCAGCCGGGTGTGGTGGCGTCTGTCTGTAGTTCCAGCTCCTCGGAAGACTAAGGCAGAAGGATCGCCTGAGCCCAGCAAGTCGAGGCTACGGTGGCCATGAGCGTGCCACTGCACTCCAGCCTGGCCGACAAGAGTGAGACTCCAACTCCAAAAAAATAAATCTGTATGAAATGGACACCCTAAATGCCATTTTAGAGATTAGAAAACCGTTACCTAAGGAAATGTCAAAGGATGATTTTGGGGGGGGGGTAAAATCATGACTGTCATACAAATATGGAATAAACACATGTCAAATATTTAATTTGACTCATTAATTAATAAAGGAGCCAGTAAGTTGTAAAACTGGTTCAAAGAAGAACACAGAGAACAGACACGTATACAGGCAATCGGGAGTGCGAAGATGAATTTCCTATTAGGTGCAAGTCAGGTCACTGCCTATGGAGCAATAGTTAATTGCATCTTCATTGTATAAAATGTATTTGTAGCCGGGCTCGGTGGCTCAGCCTGTAATCCCGCGCTTTGGGAGGGTGAGGTGAGTGGATTGCCTGAGCCCGCGGGTTCGAGACCCACCTGGGCAACTTGGCGAGACCTCATCTCTACAATAAATCAAAATATTAGCCGGGTGTGGTAGCACGTGCCTGGAGTTCCAGCTACTTGGAAGGCTGAGGTGGAAGGATCGCCGGAGCCCAGCAGGTGGAGGCTGCAGTGGCTGGGAGCGGCCTCTGCACTCTAGTCTGGGCGACAGAGTGAGACTCCAACTCAAAAAAAAAAAAGTATTTGCATCTCCATGGGCAAGTATCATTTGCATTACTATCCGTTTTCTACAACACACAGAGTTGTCAAATAGCTCAAGGAAAAATACAGACCTTTCTAGAATCAGATAATCCCTGGAAGGGTCTGTAGCAGGATTTTTTTACAGAGAGGCTTCCTTGCCAGGAAGCAGCGTTTATTTGTACTGGCACTGGTTCAGCAGATTTACATCCAAAGGCTGAGCCCTGAGCACAGTGGGGCGGACGTTGCCTAATACACTGTCTGTTTCCCCTCCTTTACGTTCTAGTTTGTCTCCCTTATTAGGCAACGTAATGGCAATATACATTTTGATTGGGTATCTCACAGCATAGGGTTGTAGCAGGGTTACACGTGGTGCACTGTGACATGGAATGAGTCACATTCCTTTTTTCTCTTCTGGGAAGCCCTTTATCTCTTTGTTCTAGGAAGGCCCCTACCTCAGGTCCTCTAGACAACCTATAGTGAAATTAAATAATGCCTTCAAGATTTCACAACTGCTAAGTAGAAGATCTGGAATTCAAACCCAGTCTGCATGTCTCTGTAAGTTCAGACTCGTTCCTCTGTGTCACGTCGCTTTGGGGCCGGAAGAGTGCTTTTCGGCAGAAATTGTGGCACTGACTCATCACTGCATTTAGGTAAAAGTCTCTGGTCTCGGGAATCTGCATCAGAACCTACAGCAATGTTCTGAAGAACTCCAAAGCCTCGATCAATCCTTTGCCACCTCAGAGTCTCGTTCTCTATTCAAGTGTCTCCTCGGAAGTCTTGAAGGGCTTGGAGCCTGGCCTGGGCCCGGGGAAACCGTAGAAGAGTCTCAAGACTCCCACCGCACCCTGTACCTTGAAGCAGACGAGGAGACCACCGCAGCTTGGCTTTAGTCAATTCTTGGCTTTGGCGGTTTCTGAACGCTGGTACAGCCGGATTATACCTTCATCATGTAACTGCTTCCAGACGTCTCGCTCTAACTTGAAGTCATGGTTTATGTAAAAGATCAGTCGTTTCCATGACTTATCATAGTAGTGATCAGAAAAGCGCTCATGGCCCTCAGTGATGAAGCCATAAGCACTCACCTGTGTGAAGGTGGGAGGAGAAATAGGATCTGTCAATGCTGTCTCCAGGCTTCTCCTGGACTGTGTGTGTGTGTATGTGGGGGCAGGAGGGTGTCTCTTTATCCTGGTTTCATCTCTAGGGGTCTGGGTGCACACGCACACACCTGCGCTCATGCCCTCTCCTTCCCTGCCAGAGGTGTGCACCCAGCCCAGCCATCGTCTCTTGCTGAACAGACCCAGAACTAGCCCCAGAGCTGCTTCTCCTGAAGTAGAGCCTTACCTGGTCACAGAGATGAAGGGCGGTGAGCAGCAGGAGGGCCCCTGTGGTGGGGCGGTATATTCTCCAGTGGACAGTGTCTAGGGTCTTAGACCTCAGAAATCTGAAATATCCCAGACCCCCAGCCATTAGGAGTCTGCGGAGGATGAGATGGGCCCTCCACGTGCTTTCTGTTCTCACCTGTTCTTCATGTATCGGAGAAAGTCTGGGTGCAGCAGCAGGTATCTGTCCAATTTCAGTGCTTCCTTAAAAGCTTCTAGGGGCCTTTTTCTGTGGTTAGGGATAGGTCATTCAGGCTCAGTTCTGTTACCTGGCCTGGTGTGTGGGCCAAGTCAGGGTCACGGGCATGACTGGCACCCATCTCGAGGTGAGAGCTAAGGTTGACCCCACCTGTCCAGTTTTTGTTTTGTTTTGTTTTGTTTTAGTTGGAGTCTCGCTCTGTTGCCCAGGTTGGAGTGCAATGGCTGGGCTTACGGCCACCACAGCGTCAGCCTGCTGGGCTCCAGCGATCCTTCCGCCTCAGCCTTCCAAGTAGCTGGAATTACAGGCATGCGCTAACATGCCTGGCTAATTTTTTTCATTTATTGTAAAGATGAGGTCTCGCCAAGTTGCCCAGGCTGATCTCAAACCTGCAGGCTTAGGCAATCCGCTTGTCTCGGCCTCCCAAAGTGCTGGGATTACAGGCTGAGCCACTGAGCCTGGCCTGTCCCGTTCTTTATAGCCGCTTACTACATAGCTCAGACTGGGGCAAGGGGGTGGGGGGAGAGCAGTGGGTACCTGAACCAGAAAAGGTTCTTTGCCACCAAGGTCTGATTCAGAAGTAGTGCTTCCAGCCACTCATAGTCCCGGGTGCCTTCCAGGAAGTGCAGGTAGCGGATGTCCTGAGGACAAAGTACAGTGAGTGACCCAGAAGTACTGCCTCGAGGAGACCAGGGGCCGGGTGGCCTGCCTCTGACTCCAGACTGCCCACTGGCTGTTCTCTGGCCTGTCTGGCCGTTCTCCCTGCTCTCGTCCTCATGGGAAGGGAGCCTGTACCAACTACAAACTCCATCCAGACACCGGATGCTCACCTGCCTTTCTGACCTGAGCGCTCCCTCATCCAGAGTCCAGGTGTAGCCAGGCCCACTCCTCTTTGCTCACCTTCCCCAGAGGCACGTTCTGGAAACCCCGATTGCCCAATATAAGAAGTGATTGAGTCAGGGAGAAGGCAGTAAAGCCGTAGAAGGAAGTCCGAGTACCCACATCCTGTTCATAGCCTTTAATGACAGCTCCGCTCAGTCTGTATAGAAAGACAAAACCAGACAGAACTCTTGAGCAGAAGAGGGAGATTCATGTAGGTGAGTGGGGAAAGGAAGGAGAACTAGGGGAGGAAGCGGTTGCATGCTGAGATTTTCTGGAGAGCCCAGGAATTCCACCCTCTAGATGCAGGCATGGGATACCCTGCCAGGCTCTGAGAAGAGCCCATCCCTGCAGGAGAGGACCTGGAGAGGGGAGCTTGGGGTGGGACAACTTACCGGAACACGTAGTCATGCCCGTCTATCTCCCGGCCCACGTGGGAGTTGTTCAGGATGCCCCCGTTGCCCACCACGGCACAAGTGATGCACCGGGACCTCCCGGGAGGGAGGTCGGCCAGGAGCAGCTGCTGTTGAGACACTGGAGGGAAGCGTGCCACGACGTTCTGCACCACTAGAACAAGGGGGGCTCCATTCAGAGCCCTGGAAGGGACAGGAGTCCAGCCCATCATTTCTCCCAGGTCTGGTGGGCCCCAGGGAAGAGGCAGACCAGAGGCAGAAAGCCAGCTGCCCTCGCCTTCACTGACTGCTCACCCAGTGGCCTCCCCCAGGGGAAGGGAAGGACTCACAGGAGTGATTGAGTTCCATGAAGCCAAAGGGTGGTGAAAAGTGTTCCAGGCGGTTCCATTCACTCTGGTTGAAGTTTCCAGAGTCCAGGAAGAGAGTGAGGTTGGGCAGAAAGAGCTTCTGGAGCCACGGTGACTTGGAGGCTTTGACCTTCACAGAATCAGGGCAGGTCTGCATGCAGGAGGACAAGGTCAGGCAGGGAGAAGCCTAGGAAGGCTACGCGCAGGGGCTGGGCCTCACGGGATGGAAGGCACTGACTCTGCTACCTCTCAGTCCTATTCTCTCCCATCTCCATTGTGAGGCCCGCTGTGGTCCTGAGCGTTCCAGGGAAAGGATGTTCTTGGCCCTCAAGGCAAAAGCACCTTTGTAAACAAGCGTGAGAGGAGCCGTATCCTGTGAATGTGGCATGTGTCCCTCCGGCTGCCAGTGCAATCGTCTATGTGTAAACATACATGCTTTGTGAGCATTTTTCTTCTCTCTTTTTTTTTTTGAGTTGGAGTCTCACTCTGTCGCCCAGACTGGAGTGCAGTGGCCGCTCCCGGCCACCGCAGCCTTGACCCACTGTGCTCCGGAGATCCTTCCGCCTCAGCCTTCCAAGTAGCTGGAACTACAGGCGGGCGCTACCACACCCAGCTAATTTTTTGATTTATTGTAGAGATGAGGTCTCACCAAGTTGCCCAGGCGGGTCTCGAACCCGCGGGCTTAGGCAATCCACTCACCTCAGCCTCCCAAAGCGCGGGATTACGGGCTGAGCCACCAAGCCCGGTTTTTTGTTTTTTTTTTTTTTTTGAGTTGGAGTCTCACTCTGTCTTCCAGACTGGAGGGCAGTGGCCGCTCCCGGTCACTGCAGCCTTGACCTGCTGGGCTCTGGCCATGCTTCTGCCTCAGCCTTCCAAGTGGCTGGAACTACAGGCACGCGCTACCATGCCCAGCTGATTTTTGATTTATTGTAGAGATGAGGTCTCACCAAGTTGCCCAGGCGGGTCTCGAACCGCGGGCTCAGGCAATCCACTCACTTCAGCCTCCCAAAGGAGCGGGATTACAGGCTGAGCCACCGAGCCTGGCTAATTTTTAATTTTTTACAGAGATAGGGTTTCACTATGTTGCCCAGGCTGGTCTTGAACTTCTGGTTTCAGGTGATCCTCCTGCCTCGGCCTCTTAGTGCTGGAACTACAGGCGTGAGCCTCCATGTCTGGCAGTATATACACATTTTGAGTGCTGTCCCTCCATGTAGGTGCATGTGAGAAGGACCTCGTGGGTGGGTGTGGTTAAGCTCAGGCTGTTTTTCTTAGGATTGGAAGAGAGTGAAGGTGGTGGAATTGGCTTTGCAGGAAGGACATTCCTAGGGATCAGGGCTGGGCATGAAGTTGGGGTGTTCTTGTCTGTTAGTCCCTGTTCCCCTGTAGGGGGATGAAGATTCAGGTGTCCAGCCCCAGAGCAGATCACATTCTCTCACCCTGGACTGGTGACCTCCAGGCCTTCTCCAGGGGTCTCCAAGGCAGGCCCCCGCTCACCCACACCTGCCCATGCAGTTCAGACCAGGATTCTGGGGCTGCCTTCTCCTCCTCCCCTGTTTTGGCCATCTTGGGAAGGAGGGATGGATTGGAGCAGTGCAGGGCTGAGCTCTGCTTCATCATGAGCTCGGGGTGGAACGAGGCAAAGTCTAAAAGCAGTGCCTGGGAGGGGAGGGAGAAGGTGGGGGTGGGCTGCCTCTCAGGAGGGGCCTTGGAGCAGGGAGCTGCAAGGGAAGGGCTGGTGGCAGAAACTCACCGTCTGGAGGCCCCCCACGTCCAAGCTATATTCTTCCTCAAAATCCCACCGAGGCTCAGACTTGAAGTTGGCGGGCTTCAGTCTTTGGTCTCTCTGTGTGGTGGGACCCTGGAAAGGGGCAGGGTGTGGGGTGGCCTGCGCTTTCTTTCCCTCGGGTGGGACAACTGCTGTGGGCATTCCTTTCTGTCCCAGGCTCATTGGCACCGCTCCTGCGGTGGTTGGCCTTGTGTCCCGACCTCCTGGAGTGAGCATCTTTGCTGCGGTTGCTTCTTTGCCATGATACTTCACAGCCACTGTCTTTGTGCTTATCAGCTTCTTCAGCTGGTCCCTGCTTCCTCTGGTTGTCTTTGTGTTCTGGCTCTTCAGTGACAGCGCCTCTGTCCTGTTAGAGGCCGTCCCCGTGTCTTGGCCTCTGGGTGACAGTGTGTCCACTGCAGTTTTCTCTTTTTCTGGACTCTTCAGTAATGTTGTCTTTGCTGTGCCGGGCCCCTTGCCCAGCTCCTCTGGTGGTGCCCGGTTGGCCTCTGTTCTGCTCTTTCCAGCAGTGTGGGCTGTGGCCTGGGGTTGTGTGTTGAGGGTGCTGTTCTCTGGCACCAACTCTGCCTCAATGGTTTTCCTCCTTCCCGTCACGGGCACCTGGGACTCTGGAGACATTTCAGTAATGCTCTCTCTATACTGATACCTATGGACAGAGATAACTTTTGATGAAGGTTGAAGATTGTAGAAATAGGTCAGAAGCATAACTAATATTTATTCTCGTGCCTTAAGTAGACTTCAAACAGTCCCCGTAGGGGACGACAGGAAGGTGCCACACCATCTGCTACCAAGGATGACACTGCACCCTTTGGCAAGGAGTCTGGAAAGTTACCTCCGACTAATAAGGCAGACTTGGCTATAGCAAGGAGTTTGGGGGCCTAGACTGGGTGCCAAGATAAGAGCCAAAACGTTTCTCCAGGCACCTCCACGGGCGGTGAAGTAAGCATGGAGAAGCAAGCATGGAGGGAGCGGCAGTGCCAACCCCCATGCTTACTCCTGGGCCCCAGTGTACACTGCCATTCTGGATTGTGAGTTCTGAGAATGAGTTTGTGTGACCCTGTCCCGTCACCTCACATCTCTGTGATTCAGTTAACCTTTTTGTTTTCTGTTAATGAAGCAGAGGTAACCATGGTAACCCCATTTACAAGGGAGTGGAAGAGACACTCCACTTAATTCACGTAAGGATGGAGCTGCCAATCTTGATTTTGAAAGGTCTGCCTTAAAGGTTTATTTCAAACAGAGTCATGAGTCAAATCCTGCCTAGAAACTAACTTTTGCTCCTTGGCATTGATAGAAAAAAATACACACTCAACACTTACTTGTCAAAATCCCACCCTCTTAGCCCCATCTCAGACGTTAGACGCTGGAGACTGCAGATGAAAGGCATTTCCCAGCCATAAGCAAGAGCAACTCTGGTGAGAGCCAGTCTGTGAAACAAGGGATTAGGCTGCCTGGAGGAAGTGTGAGCCTGCTGCGAGCCTGAAGGCAGGACATCTGTGGGGCTACCCTGGGAGTGAGAAAGGATCCCGGAGAAGCTTCCCCTTCTGGAGGATTAGGAGTGGGGAGAAGGTTTCAGTCCTGGAAACAGTAAGTGCACGGGGTGGTGAACCTGTAATTACAACATCCAGAGGGGAGGGGGCTGGAGATGGTTCCAGACAGTTAGGCAGGGCGGGATGGTGACCTGCGTTGTGTGTTGGAGTATAGAATTTAGAGTTTATCTTTGTCCACTTGTTCAGGAGGAGTTATTGAAGAATTTTGGGGTGGGGGGAGAAGGAAGGGAGTGATCGGGGAGGGAGCACAGTCTGTTTTGATCCTAAAATCCTTTTTTCAAGCAGTAGTAAAAAATGGATTCAGGGTGTCTGGTCTGACTTTTGGCAGCTCAAGGTTTTTGGCTTCAGGGATTGTATTTATTTTCTTTTTATTTTCTGTGTTTATGTGAGGCTATCAAAAGCATCACTTCATGATGCAATTTAGTGTCAGGTGTTCTGCATGTTCTGTGGAGAAACTGGGATCCTCTGTTCCGCATGCTCCTCTGACTAGACTTTGTGGTGGGGTCTCTGTGCTACAAAGGTTTTAGGGGTATTTCTGGGAGTTGCGGGAGAAGTGATCTTCCTCTCTCCTGATCCTCTTGGCCATTTCCCAGATGGACTTCCTTGGCTCCATCTCTTGCTCCTTACCCCTGGCATTCTAGGCCTCCCCATCTGTCTTGGTCCCGCTTGTCTCAGGCTGCTGCTGTCTGCTTATACCATTCTTCTAAGCTATGTATATAGCCTCACTAAGGCTACATGAAGAAAAAAAAAAAAAGAGCAAGGAATGTGTAGCCAAAGAGGCCTGAGTGAGAATCCTGACACTTCCATTTATTAGCTGGCACGACTGAGGAGAAATCCTCTTCACCTACCCAACTCTTGGTTTTCTTATCTGTAACATGGGTTGCTGCCTTTTGCTTCTGAGGAAGTCTCTTATGAGCACGAACTGACAACATGTACAAAGCACCTGACACAAAATACCTACGAGGATGACCCCCCAAAAACCTGAAATTATCTTTCGGAGGGCAGGCCCCTTGTAGTACAGGTTCCCCCTGCTAGGTAAGTGTTCTAGGAATTCTCTCACATTAGTGTAACAGCTAGCATTGCTGTGAGAGGCTGCATTTGGTTTCAGTGAAATTTTTTTTTTTTGGTGGAGATTCAACACGTTTGGTCATTTCTTTCTTTCTTTTTTTTTTTTTGAGTTGGAGTCTCACTCTGTCGCCCAGACTGGAGTGCAGTGGCCGCTCCCGGCCACCGCAGCCTCGACCTGCTGGGCTCTGGCAATCCTTCCGCCTCAGCCTTCCCAGTAGCCGGAATTACAGGCATGCGCGACCATGCCCAGCTGATTTTTTGATTTATTGTAGAGATGAGGTCTCGCTGCCCAGACGGGTCTCGAACCCGCGGGCTCAGGCAATCCACTCACCTCAGCCTCCCAAAGGCGCGGGATTACAGGCTGAGCCACCGAGCCCGGCTTTGGCCATTTCTTGGTACCTGATTTACAAGAAAACCTGCCCACACTGCACTGAGTGTTCAGCAGTTTTTGACCAAGAATGGCATGGTCCCTGGGCCCCACCCTTCTTATTCACCTGATCTCACCCTGAGTGACTTTCTTTTTGTTTCTCTGGATGAAAAAAGCCCTCAAAGGAAAAAGTTTTTCTGATATGGAGGGGGTGAAACAAACAAACAAACAAAATGGCAGAAGCACTAAGAGGCATAAAAATCAAGTTCAAAAACTGTTTTGAGCAGTGGAAAAGCATCTTCTAGGTGTATTGCATCAAACAGAGAGTATTTTGAAGGTGACTGAAGCTTAAACATTTTAAAATAAATAAATTCCAGGTTTTTTGGGCCCCCCCTTTGTACTCAACAAATATGTTCCCTCCCTTCTCACTCCCACTGAAATTCTCCTTTCTCATTCCCAGTCCATGATGGACAAGCTGGAGATCCACTTGGCCTGGTCTCAAACTCCTCTGGTTACTGCTCTTTCTTTTAGAGACAGGGCCTTCCTCTGTCATCCACACGGGAGTGCAGTGGCACGATCATAGCTCACTGCAGTCTCAAACTCCTGGACTCAAGAGATCCTCCTGCCTCAGCCTACCTAGTAGCTGGTACTACAGGTACATGCCACTGTGCTTGGCTAATTATTTTTTGTAGAGATGGGGGGGGGTCTCACTTTGTTGCCAAGGCTGGTCTTGAACTCTTGGCCTTAAGCCGTTCTCCCACCCTGGCCTCTCAAAATGCTGGGATTATAGGCATGAGCCACTGTGCTTTGCCTGGTTGTTGCTTTAACATCCACTCTCCAACCGACTCAAGTTATTCACTCTTTGATTCTGTAAATATTTATTGAATACCTCCTTTGAGCATAATACTAGTAACTAGGCCTCGGCGATACACTTAACCAGACGTATCCTTTTCCTTGTGGAGCCTAAGATAAGAAGGGGATGATGTGTCATCACACAAATAGGCATCAAGTTGTAATTAGGAGGTGTGTTAGGAAAGGGGTGAACATGAAAACACACCGTGGAAGGGAGCCTGACCCAAGCTCCACCTCCTGCATTAATGTGGAAGCTAAAACTGTACAAGGCGTCAGATTCATTATGTTTTGGGGGTTGTATTTGTTCAGAGCAATATCATCTCTTTCTTAAGTTACAAACTTCAAGGAGGCAGAAATCATTCTCAGTAGCCCTCACTACCATCTTACTGCATGCCATATCACATCCCATCAGTGCTTTCAAAAGACTTCCTGAAGCAAAAGGAAATGGATCCAAACAAAAGCTGTATAGGATTTAAATATGTACCTAGTACCAACAAAGAACATCTCATTCAGCAAATGTTTACTTAATATCTACTCTACACGGTGTGCTGTGTAAGCCTGGGAATGCACATTTGAATAAGGCCGCAGACTTTGATCCTATGTGATACACAATTACTGTCATTAGACACAGAAGACAAAAGAGATCTTTCATTACTGGAGGAACTCAGGGCTGGCCCACAGCAGTACATGAAGCAGACAGGTTACTTGTGTTAGCCCTTCTTGCTTCAGGGCCTCCTGCCTGAGTTGTGGCTAGCCCTCTTGGTTGATACTGTATTTCCAGCCTTCCTCAGTCAGAAGGAGACACATTTGTTCATACCTTCCGGGTGGAGCACTCTCTGTTCTGAAACAGGACGAAAACCTAAATTCCCTTAAGAGTGTCAGAAAAGGGCTGGTGGCTGGCAGTGTGTCCTTCTTTCTGACCTCCCAGAGATCCTTCCTCCTTGAAACACACATTTTTAACTGGCTTTGTGCAGAACATACCTCTGCCCTTGTTATATGACTCAAAGAAACAGCTCAAATGAGAGATATTTCAGACCTGAAAGGCCAGGGGGCAGGGGCAGCACCCTGAATAGGCTAATAGCCTTCAAATCTTAATTCTTTTTTCATTTTCTATTTTCCATCAAGAAAAGAAAGAGAGGAATTTATCATAAGGATAGAAAGTGTCTCAAGGAACCCAAGAACGAGAAGTGGCCTGAAATCAGGTATCATGCTCTCTGTTCTCACCTCTGCTTCCTCTGAATCTGCTCGCTTCTTTCTTTTTCTCCCTGCAGACCAGCTTCCTCTGCTCTTCAGCAGAGGTGGTAAATGGCCATCCCATAATACCTACTCCAGAGATGTTGACTGTCTTTGCTCCCAATTTTTCATTCTTGGGGGAAAGACTGTGGCGCATCTCCATCCCTGTTCAGGCATCTGGGTCACACACTATGTGACATTCTGGGGCCCACCCTGTGCATGGAAGAGGACAGTTTCAAGAGAAAGAGGGGGTTATTGGCTCATGAGCCGGGCACACACCCACAAAGTGTCCATCATGAAAGAATACTGTTCAATGCAGAGTGGAAGACTTATGTTAGTCAAGAATATATTCTTTTTTTTTTTTTTTTGAGTTGGAGTCTCACTCTGTCACCCAGGCTGGAGTGCAGTGGCACGCTCACGGTCACCCAGTATTGACCTGCTGGGCTCCGGCAATCCTTCCGCCTCAGCCTTCCAAGTAGCCGAAACTATAGGCGTGCGCCACCACACACATCTGATTTATTGTAGACACGAGGTCTCGACAAGTTGCCCGGGCTGGTCTCGAGCCTGTAGGCTTGG